TTTAGAACCAACGGATGGGTGCATGTAAGATTTGATTTCAGTGACTGGATTGTTCTTAAACTGATGTAAGTGATTCATAAAGAGTGACTGGAAAAAAAAGGTATAGACTACATATCTTTTTTTCTCTTGGTTAAAACTGCCGATGCAACTTGAAAAAAGGGATAAAAGCATGTAAACAGCATAGACCCTAGACGAGGAATCAAACCCAGGAATTTCTTAGTGCAGTGCAACAGTTGTACAAACTCTATTATTATGCAATGGATTTTTCAAGCCATACTTTAAAATGGTAGTTATAGGAAAGAAGGTTTTTTGATAAGGTAGATGTGTTTTGAAATGAAAGCCAAGGTATTTCTACAGGAAATAGATGCTTATCAAAGTGTGTCTATTTTAACGGTCTGTACCGGAAAGTGCAGGAAGCAATGACCAAATATGGACAGACGACACTCGACAATCTGTGGTTTATGGTGGGAAGTCCTTCTTCCCCCTTTTTTTACTCCTCTAACGACTATGACTGTGTGTGACTAAAAAGAAGAGAAATGCACTGGCTAAGATTTGATTTTTTCCAATGTACTATTGCTATAATCAGAGTTATGAAAGACCTGATATAGCAAAATAAAGCTGTGGAAGAGGACCTCGTGGTAATGCATAGGTGGTCCGGGAAAATCCACAATTAAAGATTAATTACATACCCTGTTACAGCCATTAATTATACAGCGGAATTACACTGTTTTTTGTTTTATTTGGAAGCAGATCTTTTTAAACTACGTAGAAGCCTGAAAGTCAGCCACAGAAATAAAATGGTGTATACAAGTGCCCATCAACTTGACAGGCCTTAGAGCCTGTTTGGTTCTTAGTCCAGTTGGACAAATTTTGTTCAGATCCACTGAAGCAACATATGACTCTTCAAAATAAATGTTTTTCTTCTTAAATCTACTATAATTAGCTTGTTTTAATTTTTGAATGAATAAAATGGATATCATTTTGTTTAATAACATTTATATATAATAAGAGCCATACAAGAGAAGATAGTCTAAAGCAAAACATGTAGCTCTGAAACAGCAGCTTGCGGATATATATTTATAAGGATAATAATGTATCAAAATGGCCCAGTCAATCTCCTGTCCAAAAGCTAATTAGAATTTTTGGTAAAACCTGAAAACTCAAATTCTTACAGATGCTCTTCAGCTAACCTGGAAAAGTTTGAGCATTTTTTTCCACACCCGAATCAAATGGCTGAATAACCAAGTCCTCCTGATTCCTGCTAATCACCTGATTATGACGCAGAGCCACATTTAACATCTGCAGGACAAATGCTTGAAGACCCATGTTAAAAAGAATCAACAGAGAGTCAAAGATCAGGTTTATCACAAATATGCCCGGAAACCTCAAAGAAATGGTGCAAAAAAATTCAAAAAATACTAGAGAAAATATCAAACAGGTGCTCGTCAAATGTGAAGAAGAGTTTGACTGCCATGATGCTAATAATGGCTTGCCCAGTAATAATTACAAGGTGCAATTTATCTTTGGCATTCTTTTAATGAATATTTGCCCAATTTCTTACGAAAAACAAATTAAAATAGAATAAGAATAATCTTAGAACAAATCTGCTGGGAGTATGAACAATCTTGGGTTAGACAAGATAGACTTACAAGTTATATTTTAATGTTTCAACTCAATTTTTTTATTTTTTACTTAAACAAGTCAAAACCTGTCATTTCCGGGCAGTTCATTTTCACATCTTGAAAAAGACAAATGATGTCTACAGGATGATTCAGTGCATCACTTCCTCCACTCGGATATGCCCTCGTGATACTCTTACTCTTCATCCGTTCGAGTGGTTCCATTTCCTTTTTTTGTGGTATAAAACCAAGAAACGGATTCTTTGGAGTAAACCACAACCTCCTGAATTCACATATCAGTTTCTGGAAAGGATCTCTGGGGCCTCTTACACAGCAACCATGCAGATGTGCATTAGAAGCCTAACTTGCCTGGCCTTTCTGGCTGCAGTGATCCTGGTAGCATCCGCCTCTGGTAAGTAGGATTATATAATGTCACTTCTTTACACTTTAAATATAGATGCAATCGATAATTTACTATATTTATTTTCTGCTTGTTTTACGAAACAGAAACAAAGATTACAAAGTGCTGTACCAAGGTCAGTGTTCAAAGCATCACTGCTCCTATCATTGGCTTCAGGATCCAAAGGAAGATCCTGCCCTGTGTCCGTGCAGTCATGTAAGATATGCTCCACTCATTTCAATTTTGTATAAGTATTTCCTTATAGTGCTAATTCATACTAGATTACTTTCTAAGCCGCTTTGCAGAATCTCAATCCTAGTCATTAAATAATGCAGTTAAGGATAGTTTTCCTTTAAAATTTGCAATTAGTAGCTCATAGAAAAACTAAATGAATAAAACAATGCAACTGTTTTTGGCATCTACTTAATTATATTTAGTTACGTTCCATTAGTCCATCCATTACCTTACACGCTTAGGGTCGCGAGGGGTGCTGGTGCCTATCTCCAGCTATCAATGGGCGAGAGGCAGGGTACACCCTGGACAGGTCGCCAGCCCATCGCAGGGCAACACAGAGACAAACAGGACATACAACCATTCATACACACACTCACACCTAAGGACAATTTAGAGAAGTCAATTAACCTAAAAGTCATGTTTTTGGACTGTGGGAGGATGCCAGAGTTCCAGGAGAGAACCAACGCATGCTCAGGGAGAACATGCAAACTCCATGGCGAAAGACCGCGGGCCTGGAATCAAACCCAGGATCTTCTTGCTCCAAGGCAGCAGTGCTACCCACTGCGCCACTGAGCAGCCCCATTTAGTTACGTTAACATAATCTTATCATGTCCTACCCTGTTAACATGAAACAGCTGTGTTAAAGTAACGGAATATGATTGAATAGATGCCAAAAATAGTTGCATTATTTTTTTGCTGAAAATATGTGAAACAAATTATTATAAACAAATTATTTATGTTTCTTTGGCAGATTTGAGACTGCTGAAGGAGAGATCTGCAGTCACTGGAAACAGGACTGGGTGGCTGAGAAAATAAAGGAGCTTGAGTGAGTAGGCTTTGGATTTCACTGTCACTGTTTTCTATGGAGTTGTTGAAACTTGTTTTATTTAGATCAGAGGAATTATGCATTACAACCTGTTATTTCAAACATGGCTTTTTGTGTGTTTACAGGCGTATCCGCAAAGCAAAATCAACTACTTCTGCCACCACTACCACCACCACCACCACCACGCTGACTTCCACCACCTCCTAGAAGCCTATAGATCATTTTTGTTAATTTAAAATAATTTAACATTCCAGGTCATGTTTAGATATTTATTATTTATTTCAAGCTGTATTTATTGATAAGGGTTATCTTTGCTGCCTCTAAATACTGAATGGAGCTATGATTTGCTAATTGAAGAAAAACATTTGTAGGTACTGTTTAGTTTACATAAATGAATAAAATAAACACTTTTTAATCAATCTAAACTTGTAATTGTTTTAAGGTTACTTTAAAAAAGTATGCATTCATGAAGGAAAAAATATTAAGAATCCTCCAAGGTGTTGGATGTTTCTGGGTTGTTCCTAAACTGTCATTAGTAAAGATTTACAGGTAAAAAAGGGTATAGACTATTCTTAGCTTATTTTTCTCTGTCAAAATTGCAGGTTCAAGTTGAAAAAAGGGGAAAAGAGCATAAAAACAACATAGTCCCTAGGCCAAGAATCAAACCCAGGACTTTCTTACTGCAAGGCAACAGTGCAAACTGCACTATTATGCATTGCATTCACCAAGCCATGCTTCAAAATGGCAATTACTGGAAAGTTTGTGTTAAATAAGGTAGGGTTTTTTTTCAAATTGAAAAGCAAAGGTATTTCTGCAGGAAGTAGATACTTATCAAAGCTTGCCTATTTTATCAGTCAGAACTTATTTAAAGCAACTCAAATAGTGAGAGACAAGACTGGTTGAGGACTCACACTATCTTGTTGTCAAGCACAGTAAAGAACATTGTAAGGGATAAAATAAGAGCATATATTTTTGTTTTTAAAGAAATTTGTTTGTTGTTCAAATGTCCCCACTGGCAATAAAATTAGACCAAGAATTAGTCTGCCATCTAGTGGCTACAGAATAAGGACCAATAGCACAGCTTTACTGTGTCACCTTGTCAGTCAGGGAAACCAATGCTGTAATAGGAACTGCCTTCTTCACAGTCCTGTCATGCACTTAAAGAATCTCCGAGGTCAGAATACGTCACCGAGAAGTTTACAGACACCTTCAAGAGACGTTTTAGCAGAAATTTTTTTAAAGGTAACCCAGACAGTCATGGTGCCTTTAAAATATTAACAATCATATTAACATCAGTTTACTCTTTTTTTTTTATTATTTACTTATTAATTTTTTTAATTTAGAGTTGCTTTGTATGTAGCTACCTTATTTATATTCAGGCTCATATAAAGTATAAAAACACACAACTGTTTATATCTATAAACTTAGTAGGGCGATTGAAATAACCTTCTGATGAATATAGACAATGAAGTCAAAACACTAAGTCCATGAATTGTATTATGTCTAATACAGTAAAATGTAATAAAAATAACTAAGTAATAACACAGGAAGGAAATAATGTCATAAAGATATAGAAAGGTAAAACTATGATCTATGTCTGTTTCTTAACTGAAAAAAGTCAGTGAGATTGATTAGAATATTTGACATTTGCAAGATTACTTGTTTTAAGTATTAATGCCAAAATGAGATGATTAAGTTAATCTTTACCTGAATTTTATTTTTTAGATTTTTTCATTCATATATATATATATATATATATTAGAGATGGAAAAGATAAATATAACACTCTTTAAGCTGAAAATATGTTAGGTTAATATAAATTGGAAAGAATAATTGACACCGTCAGATACAATGGGGAAAGAAACAAAACAACTTTCAAAATGTTTTAAAATAAAAGCACACAACAGCATTGAACCCCTTAAAAAAATATTTTATGATTTTTGGAAGCATTACAGTTACATAAAGAAAAATGTTTAAAAGACATTCATGACATAACATGTCCCACGGTACGACAAAACTAAAATGTGACAATAAGTCAACTTGACATAGCCTGTAGAAGTAGAAAGAAAGTACAGCCATATTTAATAAAACAGTTTGGATGAGGCTCCATTGCATAATGAACAATACCTTTTTACATATGAACCTTTTTTTCAGACATTTTTAACACAGTTTTTAGAAGAACAGCATGTTTCTTTAATAGTCTTAATTTACTTTTAAACATCATATTTTCTTAGTCTCAAACAAAAAGTGATAATAATGAAAAGTAGTCAATGAGTTTAAACAGTGGTCTGTGTTTAATTAATTCATATAATGCATTTCACCTGGTGGAATGAGTTGCTGGAATCATTTTATATATATATATATTAGTTATTATTACAAAATTTCACCAATGCCTTTAAATAAGAGATTATTCTCAAAGACTTTATTACAGAAGATTCAATTCTCTTAATTCCTTGCTGCAAATTTTTACTTTATAAAAAACATTTATTTTGTTTTTTTAGCAATTCAGTATTGTAGAAAGATCCCCTTCCTCCATGCGTGGGATTTTTTTTCAGTTTTCTTAGTTTCTTTACCGCTATTTTGGGATAAAAAGAAAACAAAACAAAAATGAATATTTTACTAAACATTTTCCTAACATTAAACCTTTTATGCAAATGCATTTAGGTACTCTGGAGCTAAACTGATATAAGATGCTACAAACAAAAAATAATTATTTTACCTCAGCCTTTTAACAGCATCCTGAACCCACTTATCCTTTGGATTTGCACAGACTTCTCGGTGACCAGGGATGGAGGTGTAGAAACTATAATAGACACATTTTAAGACAAACAAGAGAAACTACTGATGTATTATGCAAGTGTAATCCATTGAGTTAACACATACTAGTTTAATATCAAAGTTATGAACAATTAACTTTTAGAAAGAAAATGGTAACAGAGTGGAAACAGGATTTTTTAAAACTATTTCTTTTATCTAGATATTTATTTAATTTTATGTATCCAATTTTTAAAATGAAATCATGATTTTTATTGATGGCAGTCATGTCAATACATGATCTAAAGCTATATTTACCAAATAAATGAATACAGGACACAATGTAAGGGTTTAAGGAGTAGATTCTTACATGATGGCCTCGATGCGGCAGTGTGCCAGATCAGTTTGGTTCCAGTAGCCTTCTATGGCCTCGTACGTGACCACTATATCATCATATTTTGTACAGCAGGCTACTCTGGAGTGAATACCTACAGATCAAAAGGTCACACACAAAGCATGTGGTCTGTATTTCAGTCTGAATTGTACAGTTAAATCTGATGGTAGAAACTTACCAGCAGAGTCAGCTGGGCTCGGTACCCCAACTATGATGAAAAATGGGATGATGAAAACCATGATGCTTCTAAGAGGCATGATGAAGAGGCAGCAGAGAACTAAGTAAAAACAAAACAACTCAGTATATCTGTATAAAGTATCTTTAGTCAGAGAGCATCATTTATAGGATCAAGACTGAGAACAGGAAACCCAGGGCTGCATCATGGAAGCCTGATCTCATGTTATGATTACAAATAAGCTGTATACCGCAAAACATGAGGTATGTACTCTTAAGTATACATGTTTCACCAAAGCTATATAAGTTTTCACTAGAACAACAGTACATAGATCATTCTTGAATTCTCAAATAATATTTGCAAGGATAACTTTTTCAAAGCATTGATTTACCACTTTTAGTTATTTCGGACTAAATATTTCTTTGCAGCGTTATAGAACTACTTCCGTTAATTTGAGCCTTCAAGCTATGCCTCTAAGGGAAAGGAGGCTTTTTAACCTTATATGGTTCTAAGAAGTTTGCATACAGCCGCTACCACATCTTGATCTAATAGTATTAGTAGAAATGGAAGTGGTCTACAGTATCTTATAATCTTAAGATTAAGAAATGAACAGACATGCTCAAAAAGCCCCCTTCTCTTATCCTTCACTATCGGTGCAAACTAGAAAACAGCTTTAAGATATAAACACATCCTGTTCTCAGGAAATACTCTTACGACAACAATTGTCGGGATCTTCAACTAAAGCTCTGTGTTCCTCTCTTTTCACCTATCTGTTCCTCCTGCATTCTTCTCTTTTCACCTTATTTAAGATCTTTATTATATTATATTTTACAAACCAATCAGAACAGTACCGTGTAAAAGTAGTTTGCTCAACTCTGGATTTCTTGCTCTTCCAAGTTGTCAAACAAGCTTCAATGTCATAATAATAAAAGCCCAAAAAAAAAAAACTATAATTGAAATTGTGTTTTCTTTAATCTAAGGAAAACCAAAATTTGTATAATGGTGGACCCTTTACATCACTCTGAAGGGGTTTTAGCACTCTCTGCTTTGTAAAGTTGTTTTAATTAATTCTCTGGAGGGTTTGTGAGCATCAACTGGTTGTTTTAAGTATGGTTTTTCTAACCTTAAATTTAATTTTGCTTGAGATAAAGACACAAGCAAGTGATAAAGAGCACAAATAAAAATCCTTTCTTCTACAGTAGGAAATTAATTTTCTTAACAGCTTAGGTTTGGTTTTAAATTGTTGACTCTTAAGGGGGTCATTTTGCTCAAACTCAGGTTTTAGATGGCAAATTCCAAAACTTTGTTGTTGTTTTTTTCCCCTATTTGGGGGCAGTATTAGCATAGGCCAAACAAGCAGTGATGATTTAACAAAAAGAGAATCTGGGTACCTTTTACACTGATGAATGTATTTCACATAAGAAGCATCGTATAAATAATTTTTAG